CTGTAGCTTCCGAAGATGTACATGCTGTAATCGGTTGTCTTGACCAGGGAAAATGGTTAAAATTTTGGGTCTTTGTTGTGTCTTTTATAGTGGTAAACAGTTAGAAACCTCTTGCTGTTGAGGCAGTGAATGTGACTTCAAGGCTCAGGTCTTTGGTTTTGGTTTTTTCTTTTATTTTGAGGGTGGGAGCACTTGGTCTTACTTTTCTTTTCCCATGACATATGTATAAAAATAAAGGATGATGCAACAAAGCTCACGTCCCTGTTGTAAGGGATGTTCCAAATGTTTCAGAACTAGTTTCTCTGTGCTTTTTCCGTGAATGGATGTCAGATCTGTAACAAAATGATTTGGTCATGTCTTTTGGAAATGTCAGATTTGTGTTTTTTCCTCTCTGGTGTCATCCCATGTTTTGGTTTATTGCAAGCACCTGTCCAGGAGTTCAATTTGTGGTGTGTGGGGGGTTTTTTATTTTAAAATCTGCTGCTGTAATTCAGAGGTAGTCACTCTTTGAATCAGCTTTTCTGCTGGCTAATTGTATCATTGGGAATAACCTGGTCCTCTTACAAATCTGAATCATCTCTTTCTTTAAAAATCTGAGTCTAATTATCTTTGGTGGTTTTGTCTCAGTCAGCCTTGGGAAATGTGAATTTTGGAACTGATTTCTGCAAGTGCCTGGGCAGTCTTGTCTTTTTACAGAAGTCGAGTTAGTCATGAGTTGCTGGGCAGAAGATGAGGAGTAGATTCAGTATTCTACTGGAACTTCAGGGAAAAGTGAAAAGATTCCACAAGGCCATACTGCTTAGGAAAAAGCAAGAGGGCGAACACTTAGCTGGTTCATACTTAAAGAAGTACGCCTGCAGGAATCTGATGTGCATTTAGGTGTGTGGGGTATGTTTGGGTGTTTGCTTTAACTTAGAACTTGTAAACCAGACCTGACTGAAACCCTTTTAACATCCCACGTGCTGGCCAGGGGGCTGCCTTTTTCCCCACCCTGTCAGGTTTTTAAAGAGGTTGCTGAATAGCAAGACCCTTAGTATGAAGCTCACATCCTGTTGTATAACAGCTCTGGGCCTGTAATTTATTCCTTGCCTTGTCTGTTCTGTGCATTCAATCTAAAAACACTGTCCTTTTCATGAACGCTAAGATTTAACATCTCGCAGATTCTTCTGTATATTCTTCCTTGTAAGGTTCTTACTATGAATTTCTGCTGGAACTGGTAAATGTGGATTATAATTTACGTTTCTTCATTGCTCTGTCTTCACTTCTATAGGCAATTGGCAATTTATGTAGAGAAATCAGCGCAAGGGTCATCTAAACCTCTTGTAACCTAGGATACAGAAATAGTGGGTTTTTGACATGACCTGATCTAGTACATAGTATTAAGTGTTTTCAGTTGCTATAATTTGGCAGCTGTTTAGCCACCTGTGTGGGATTATAGTAGATAAAATATGAATATACAGTAGATGTGGTCTTGTTTATGATTGTTTATTTGCATTAATATACTTCGTGAGAACTAAATTAGCTTTGTGACATGCTTAAGCTATGCAAAGGTACTACATGAGTGCTGTGTTTTCTTTACACATAGAAGCAAGTCTGAAATCCAGGAATAATGCTGATGTTTGAAAATGCTTGGAGGCTATACTTCCAAATTGAAACGTAATTTCCATTCTTTGGACTTCTCTTTCAGGTTATGATTGCTTGGCAGGATTTCTAGTGTGGATGTAGGTAGAAAACTGTAGAAGAGGAAAAAAGGCTTTTTACAGTAAAAGGGTTTTAGGATATTTTTTTTCTTTTTAATTCCTGATGGATTAATGTTTCCATAAACAGCTGTTTTTCTACTTTGCACAGTTGTGAATGTAAAGACTTCTGAAATAATGTGGCAATTGAAAGGCAGAGAAGGAGTAGGTTTTTTGAGCTGGAGGGGGACACATGTATGAGGCTCCAGGAATGCTTGAGACTTGTGTGGGGAGTGGAAGAGGCATTTGCTTTCTTTCTCATCAAGGAAAATACTGATAATCAAAAAGTTGTGCTGGCTTTACAAGTGAAACAATGGAAGATAAAGTATTACACTGGTGGTATTGTAGGGTTTTTTTGTGTGTGTGTGCTGTTACAAATAAGGTATTTTTAGGTTTGAGTCATACTTTTTCATGTCGAGTTGATTGCCTATATAAGCAAAAAATGCCTTTTTTTTTTTTCCTAAATGGTCTATATTCCAAGAGGAAAGATAAAATATATCTTGTAATCATTCTGCTGCTACTATGACAGCTGTTGTTTTGATTTGTTTATTTTTGTAGTAATCTGCCATCCACAGTAGCCAGACGGCTACTGACTTTTTGTACTAAGTTGATATGGCAACAGAATTGGTGCCTTTCTGAACATATTTTTATGGTGTGCTGGAGGATCCTCAATACCTTTGATAAAGTTTTTAAACAGTTTTTGCATAGTTATGTTTTTTATTTTTATTTTTTTTATTTTTACTTTCTTGCTTAGTTGACATCCAGTTGGGGAGATCAGTAATTATCAGTTCTACTAGTACACCTAAACTGTTGTGCCTGGAAAGATTTCCATGCCCATAGGAAGCCCAGTTACTGTGCATGAATCTGAGCTAGCTTTTCCCTGTATGTGCAAGGATAATTTAGTTTAAGCTGGCTGTGTGCTATTGGAAGCAGGCTTATTGCGTTTACCCGTTGGAGTATTATTTGTAATTTTTCTTCAGTATATGGAAGATCCTGTTTTCTTGCAGACCTTGGTGCTTCTGCTAGCTTTAGAAATTGATGAGTTTTATTAAAAGTGCTGGGCTAAATTCTGGCTTCTGTTATACAGCATTGATCTCAGTGAAGTTACTCACAAGGGTAATTGATAACAGACTGGGTTTTTGTGTCTCACATGGAATATGTGCTTTCTGTTCTAAGAAGCCAAACTTCTTAGTTTGCATCTTGAAGTAGTAAACCGCTCCTCATGGCCCAGGGTTTATGAAGACACATTATTTGTCTCTTCCAAAGACAGGATATGAGTAATAATACTTATTCAGAATAAATAAATAGCAGTTGTTTAGAAATGAAGTCCTGCTGTTAAGCTAGTTTTAAAGAAATCCACAAAGATGGAGGTTATATGTCTTCGTAAGTTCAGTGAGTCCATGGCATGCCCAAATTGAAGCATTATGATATGGAACAACTCCTTTTGGACTTGTAAGAACTTTTTCTACAGGGAAAAAAAATAAAAGAGGAACTGCTGCAATACTTCTTATTTCAAATAAAACTCTAGATTAGAAATCAGACATGTGTTTGTGAGATGTATATTATGTATACATTACTTTAAAAAGGCAGTACATTTGAAAGCTGTATAAAACCAGTTATGAAACTTAGGAAATAATAGCTTTATGGAATTACTATGAAACTAGTAAAACAAAGAAGAAAATTCCATCTCTGAATTTAATAGGAAAACAGTAACTTTAGAAAAGCTGCACTAACTCAAAATGTATGTATGTCTCAAAAAATGAGTTGATGTTTGACCTCAGTGAGAAATTAATGATTTTGGCCATGGAGGGCCAAAATAATATCTATTACTTGTTTTAAAAATTGCGTGCAATTTAGCAAGTGGCAAAGAACCAAACTGAAATTGTCTTATCTTAGTATTACAGATTAGTGTGAAACTTGTGTTGTATGGCACTATTCACTCAGCACATTGTCGCATTTGTTGTGTTCAGTGATGCCCTCTTTTGATGTTGAGATGTAGCATGCAGTAGGTTTCATAAATGTTGGAAGGCTTTTGAATATAACCTGTACTACTAACTTCAAATCATTTTGTGTTTCAGACACCTCTGCCTTGCTCTTCAACAGAAGTGGATTATGAATTTAAGACTTTGATAACTGCAGGCTGTTAACATTACTGTCTTCAAGATAGATAACAACTCTCAAAGCATCTTCAGGGGATGCACCATGACATCAGCAGTGACTAACACGGGAGACCCTGATCTGGAGTTCGACAGCAATGAAATAAAAAATCAAGAGGTTAGGAAAACAAATATTATTTATTTACTAGCAAACTTTAAAACTTTGATCTTAATGTGAAAGAAAAATTCACCTTAAACTTGCTGTGAAAACAAGTGAAATGGATTACAGACTGTTGTATAAGGAGGAAGAGAGCAGTCCGTATTTCGTATATCTTTTATTATCACAGAGAAGTGGGAGCAGTAAGTTTTAAAGTCTGCAATACACCTGTAGAATAGGTTAACAAAATTATATTCTCTACTAAGCATCTCTTTAAAGTAAAGATCTTGAATGTGTCCTGAGGTGTAGAACAGGAGGAGCAGAACAACAGAAGGACCTTTTTCAGAGTTAGCCAATGTGATGTATTTGCTCATATTTTGCATTCTTATAAACAAACAATAAATATGTTCTACTCTCCTATATCTTGTAGTAAATTGAATCTGACAGGGCTCCAATCCTGCAATACTTTAACAGATTAAATATGCTGTTACAGATGTTTTGGTCCTTAAATAAGTAGATATAGGCGTATGGGCTTTTAAGTAGACAGTTCTTTTTTGATAGCTTACATACTTAATCCAAAACATGAGTGTTCATAAGGTACTGATCAGATGTAGGTATGTTGCAGAACATATGCAAAGGCTTGATTAAATTTCATGGAGCTGAGGGCAAGAAACACTTCTACAGCTGAATGTCTTAATTAGAAAACTTTGTTTTTTCCCATATCTTGAAGCCGTCTGATGCTTTAAATTTTAAGTGTGTTAAGCCAGGAAGATATCTTTGAGATTGAGGAAGATCCCTTTGGAGGATGATAAGCTGTCTTTTTTTTTGTTTGGTTTTGTTTTTTTTAAAGTGTCTTGCTGTATAAGACAATTTCCTTTAAAAATCTTTATTATCAGTATTCCATGAAATATGTAAGACCGTAAAGGAAAATATTGATGTAGAGTTCAACTCAGCAGTTCAGGATTTAGAGCATGTTTTTTTTCTGTGTTTCCTTTTTTTTTTTTTTAAATATTTTAATTTAATTTAATTTTATTTTCCCCCTCTTTATATAGGAAAATGGGCCAGTCCCTGAATTCCCAGCCGTGATTGTGGAGCCAGTTCCTAGTGCCAGACTAGAACAGGGATATGCTGCACAGGTCCTGGTTTATGATGACGAGACTTACCTGATGCAAGACGTAGCAGAGGAACAAGAAGTTGAGAGTGAATCTGTGGAAACAGGTAGATTAATTTTAACTTTTTTCACCTATGAAATTTTTGTATTTTTAGAAGTACCTGAGGAATGTGACTTTGTGTTTACCCACAGGATGAGATCCTGACCTGGATTCACATCTCTTCTCTCTAAGCTTAGTTTTTTTTGTAGCATCAGTGGTGACTGGACTGGGGCTTGGCAGGTAAAAATGTCACCCTAAGTAACACCATGTACCCTTATGGGCAGTTTTTTTTTTTTCTTTGTTACTTACTTATGCAGGGAGCTAACTAGACAACTAAACTTTGAGTTTTAAAAAAAATATCAGCTAAGCCGTGAAGCTGGTTAGAGTTTAGTTTTACAATGCATCTGAGCCAAATAGCTGCAGAGAAGTTGACATTATGGATTGTGTGGTTCTACCCTATCTTCCAACTCTTCTCCTTCCCACAGACTCTGTCCTTTGCTATTGTGCATTTTTGGTCCAAGAGTGACTTTGCTGATGGTTTAGTGGCAGGAGTTCATGGCTGGGGAGGATGGAGTTGGACTGTCCTTTTATGGGCAAAAAGCCTAATAGATTGAAAATTAACCCATCAATACTGTAAAATAACAAGTTACAAATGGAGAAAGGAGGAGAGCTTTGGCATTAAAGCAGCTGACCTGTGTGGTGATAAGCATGTCTCTTTCTGTACACCTCTGTTCAAAGAACATGTTCAGGAGCTTTGAACTTTGAGAGTGACCAAAGTCTGTTTAAACTGTGTGAAGAAACAGAAGTTGTGCTCCTATGGGAGCCTAATTATACTTGACTGCCCTGCTGCTGCTGTGCTGCAATCCCTATTGTCCTTCCCTTTTGCTTTCTTGTGCTACTTCTCATACTCGTTGGACATTTTTTAGCCATTTCAGTATGCTACTTTTGCAAGAAAAAATAGCAAGGAAACCCTCAACTGTTGTGTATTTTTGCCCAATTATCTTCTTGCTGGATGAGCATGTTGACATGGCTCAGCCAAGGGCCTGATGAGTGCTGGGGTAGGGAATGCATACGACTGCAGCCAAAGCGAGAGCAGGTCTTCTTGAGCACTCTGTACTGAACTGATGAGACCACTTGACTAGAAAATGGTTAGCGTATGTTTCTATCCTTGGGCTGCTTAATTTAGAGTTGGAATTTGAATTCATGCTATTAGGCAAGTACAACAAAGCTGAGAGACTCTTGGCAGCCCAGTAAATATATGTGCATTCCCATCAGATTAGGTAGGTTTCAGTGCAGATTTCTCTGTAAACAGTGGATGCAGTTGTTCATATATCTTTCTGAATCTGGGTGTTCATCTTGTGCAGCACTGCATCAAAAAGTCACATGCATCAACTTCAGAAGATGTGTGTGAATGGATGGTTCAGGTTTTTGGAGAATACTTAGTTTACTCAAAGGTGTTTTGAATTAAATATGCTAATTACAAGTTCAACAAATTCAAGTAAAGATAAACTAGGAGATTTAAAAAAAAATATTATTATTTGACTATGGTAATAAGACCTTGTAATCTTAAGGTGAGAAGTGAGGGTGATTTTTCCCAAGAAGCTGCATCTTAAAAATTAAAGTTCTATTTTAAAATCTTCGAGTTTTTATAAACTGCTAATGAATAGCATCACTTGCAATTTCAAAATGTCTTTAGGAAGAGGTAATTTCCCCTTGTGCACATGTTCACATACTCTGACTTTTCATTGTTACTTATATAGTATATAAGCTATTAATCCAGTGCAGTTTTCATGGTGTTATTATATATGACAGTGAGTAATGGTTCTTGCGCAGAGCTTGTATCTGATGTTGATGAAAGAAGTGTTTGGTTTAGACTGTTCTAAGCGAGGCAGTCCTGTGGGGCATGTGTTTTGACTGATGTTTTGGTACACCCAAGACTCTTGTTGAATTAACTGCTAATATAGAGAGGTAAAATGGGCAACGGAAGAGATACCGGGCTGCCGGTAGGAAGCTGTTTGATGTTGGAGAGATGGTAAAGAGGCACCGTAATAAATGGCAATGAGAAAGCAGGCTAGGGCAGGAACCGGTGAACAAGGTATAATAATGTTTATCTAAAAAACATTTTTAAGATGTTGTTTTTCTCAAGTACATACCTTTATTATGCTAATGATCCTGATTTAGATAGGTGCAACAGTTTGAATTCAGTGTGTCTTAGAAGAAAAATCCATTGTTACTAAATTATAAATGTCAGTTGGCTGCTACAAAAAATTTCACATCATTTGATAAATGAGTAGTTGTTGCACCAAGAATGAGTAGACTTAATACCTTTTGTGGCTCTAGATTCTGCATCATAAATGCTAAAAACCCATCTTAAAGAAGTCTTGGCATTATTTGGAGTAATACATGCCCACATAACCTAATCCGCTCCCTGTTGTCAGTATCTCTACTGTTGGCCATGGACCAGAGTTGTTTGTTTTCTTTTCCCTTCTTGTGACATTCCATTGGCAATTCCAGTGACTGCTGATATACATGCTTTATAATGTTACAACATAACATATTTCAAGAGCCTTGAGCTACTTCGCAGTTAATCTAAAGCTGCATAATTTAGTAAAATGTAGCATTATTCTAGCCTTCAGAGAAAGGGATCAATGCTATTGTGGTAAAGGTAGTCTGGTAGCTGATGTGGTAAAATTTATTTATGACACTGAAGAGATGATTTGTGCTGTGTACTAAATAGATTTGTGATTTGCTATTCTGTGATTGGATTTGAGACTGTGTGGACTGTAAGGACTGTCAGTGCTGATCCAAGGGCAGAACTGGGACTTGTAATGTTATTTTGCATTAAAATTCTCACTTTTTTGAAACTGCAATTCAAATAAAATAGCTATATCTCTAAACACTGATGAATTTTTAGTTAATTCTGGTGGAGTACAGGGCTTCTTTTTTCCTTTCAGCATCTTTCCCACTAATGTATTTTGTCTCATTAATCGAGGATGATTATTCATAATTAATCCCTTAGCTAAAAAATGAACCAATTAACTATAAAAGTAAAACCCAAGAGTGTTTTAACAAACAAGAAAGACTTAATGTTTCAAGTTTGTTTTTTTTTGTCCTGTTCCAGAAAAAAAAGTCTATTTGCTTGTAATAGAAAAAAGTGTTGACAAAAGTTTTCTAGGAAAAAATAAAATTTAGGAATTTTCATCTTTTCAAGTGACCTTATGACTTTCTTAGTGGAAGTATTGAGTGCCTTCTGTAACGTCTTAAAGTATAAGCTTTAGATTGATAGTGTTTCAATTTCTTTTCCTGTGTGTACACTATCATTTTTAGGAGCAATACCTCTAGGCTGTAGTGGACTGAGATACACTCTTAAAATTTAGTTTACTGCAACAGTGGAAGTGTTCATATTATAAACAATGCATTCTCCTTAACAATTTTTAATTATATCCAAATTTTGTTGGTTTCTGTTTCCTGAGTAGTTTTCTGTAATTAGCCCTTCAATTTTAGGCTTTATTCAGCAAAACCTTTGTAGTTTACGTAACAGCAGAAGCTGCTGTCATCAAAGAAGCAGTCAATCTGAAATTGCCAGTTGCTATACTTCTGTTTGTCATGACACAGAACCCGTAAAGTGGGTGTGTAGGTGTTCTAATGGGGTAATCTAATCTTTGAGCTTTCCATATGTGTAGTGCTGAAGGGTACCATAGCCATGAGCTGCAAATCTTGTACATGGAAGTTGTGTAGCCTTTTAACCAAATAAGGCACTAAATGAATATTTTAAGTATGATAATGCTGTTTTGAAAATGCCAAGTTATCTACAACATTGTCATTAAAATTGATTAGTACTTTCTGAAGTCCCTTTGTACTGATTTTATGCCTGCGTAAAAGTATTACTTCTGTGTTACCTAAAATTATTACTTTTCTTCTGTGTTACCTAATGGTGAATTTGAAAAACTGGTGGTGTTTGTTGTTTACAGGTTGTATTGAACAGTAGGCAGCTATTAAACAAGTTATAAGTACAGTAAAGCTTGATCCCTGTGAGAGGTATACCAAAATCATATTGCCAATATAGACCCTGATTTAATCAGTTCAGTTAATCTGACTTCTCATATCAGGAGTGGTTTTCCCTTTAGTTTTTAGTAATCATCAAAGCAGCAAGTACAGGTTTGGGATTTTTTTTTTTTTCCTCACAACTTTAAAGAGGAAACAAAATTAGTGCTTTGGAGAAGTTGAACTATCATTTGATGTGTGAACTATCACCACATTATTCAATTCGATGTTCCATCAGAAACCCTCCCTGTGGTGTGAGTTGAAAGTCTGTTTTAACTCTGAAAATGTTATTGCCACAGGGGGGTAGAAGATCTGCATGAAAAAATGGGGATCTGAAAATAAGCCCCTCCAGGATTACGATCTGGTGGAAAAATACTGAGCTACAAAGACAACGATGGTATGTTTGTCTATATATCTTAAATTATTTTTTTTCCCACCGGGAAGTTGAAACTATCCTGTAAATTGATGGCCATCCTTAAGGAGGGAGGGGGTTGAATAAATAGTGAGTTTAGGCTTAACTCCTCCCTTAATTTAAACAAATACATGAATAGAGTACATACTTTAAGGCAAAATCTTCTTTTCCAGAGGAAATACCAGGTTACTACTTGCACTGATACCACTGTGGATAGCAAGCTTTGTATATCTGTGTAAAAGTCTGTAGTTACTACCTGTTGTTCTTCCTGCCTCTGTATGTTGTCTTTTATTATGATTTAAACTGGTTCCTTCTGACTCCTTTTATGTGAATTTGAGGCTATGAACTCTTGTGTTTATCTGAGATAAGTTTCCATAATTTGTTAAATACCACATACAAAGAAGTCAGTATTAGATCTGGCTAGAATCTTGCCTTTTATTGTGGTATGTGCACTGAAGAGATAAACAAACCAACATTTTCGTCCATTCTCTCCAGACATTATTTGATTAAACTGCCTCTTAATAAACCTGAGACAACACAAACACCTGGTGTATGTTTTGATAGTGCTGACATATCCTATTGATTGAATTTAATTTTCTGACACAGACAGCTTTGATGAGAATTTTGAAAGTGGGGAGCAGTTTGCTTTAGAATACTGAAAGCAAATGAGTTGGGACATTCTAGCTGCTTGATTAAACTGTGCTTAAGTTGGTACTACCTTCATCAAAGAGCTAAAATGAAACCCGTTAGCTAGATAAAAGCATAAAAGAGAGATAAAACTGCATGCAGTATTTGCTCTACTGCAAGAATTGGATGTCTCCAACACATTCATGAATTAAGAATTTATTCTTTGAATGTGGGCTAATGTTATTTCTGCTGCTGCCACATTGGTTCTCACTCTGCCAAGAAATTGATTGCATTTTTGTTAGTTAAATGTTGATGACAGTGTAACAAAATGATCCCACTCCCACTGTATATACTATTTTATAGTGCTTGGAGCAGTTAGACCAGAGGCGGCGTATACCTCTGTTGTCAGTAACATTCTCAATTCAGAAACAGAATTCAGCTGTAATTAAATTTTATGTCATTCTTGCTGGTGTTTCTTTCTCTGAGAAACCAATGAAAGGAGCTGTGCAGCTGCTCTGTGGATGATAATATTATAATGTAACAGCAACAGCCTGGCTGTAGTGTCCAGTTCTTTGTAGATTTCAGGTTTCTGCCTTGCTGCATTCAGTGCTTCATTCATATTGAAAGAACACTGCAAGACTAAGTGTTTTGTAATAAAGCCTAATTTAACTACACATTCCAGGTATAATTTTTATTTTCTGCGGCTGGTGTGAGGGTAATTGAATGGCTTGGTAGTGTGGGGTGTTAGAGGTTGAACTTCACATGTATGGGTGCACTCTCAGCACCCAACTTCAGTTGCAGCTGGGGGTGAGAAACTGTATGATGTTCCTATTAAGGCTCAGCCACAGCATTTTCCTAATTAAGAAAGAGTAAGAAAATTAATTAAGAAAGTAAGCAGAAAAATTCTGTGGTTTGTATCATGAAATTAGAATGCAGTGTGGCATGCTTATTGTGGTAGGAGTGCATAAGTAGTGGTCTTTATTCATCAAAAATAGAGTAACACACTTGAAAGTAATTTTTAAAGGTGATCTGCATAATAAAAGAGAGATTGTAGTTGACAACAGATTCTAGGATCACACAGCAAAGGCATATGCATTTGAGCAGGACGTGCAGTCCTTACAAATATTTAGTGGGCTTATAGAATAGACATTTGTTGTTACCAGAGAAGTCTTTAGGAATTGTAAATGCTAGGTCTTGAATAGAGAAATGACTCAACAGTGGCATAGTTCATATGCCAGCCTATTGCAAATCTCAAATACTGTCAATTTTGTAAATTCATGTAATGTGCTATGCAGATACCTTGTTCATAATTGTCTGCCAGACTGGCCTGAAATTGAAGAATTAAAGTTATAAGGAAGTTAATTGCATGTATAATTTCAGGGTGGGTTCTTTTTTGAGACATCCAAGTTTTTCTTACCCTGCATGCACAAGTAATAATGCTGGAATGTAGACACTTACTGTTTGGAGTAACTCCTTTTCTGTTTGTCAAAGGTGGTATCAAACCCTGAGAATACGTTTGCTTTTCTGTGAGGTATCTCTAATTGCTGTAGGAGTGACACCAGGATCCTGAGTCCACTTAAAGGTGCAGGTTGTGACAGACTCTTGGCTTTGGTATGATGACATTTCATATGGTGTAGTCGAGCAGATGAGCATGATACGGTCACTGACCTCTTTTCCTCAGTCTTTCCCTCAGTCTTTCCCTGGTTCCTCTGGGGATACTTTGTGGTTATTTTGCAATTACTTTTGCAATATTTTATTGTGGAATCCACAGTGTATGGTAATGATTGAGCTGATGAGCTGATGGAGGTTGCTACATCTTTCTGCATGTTTCTGGAATCTAACTGTTAAAAATGTTTCTCTGTGGTGTTACCCTTGCAGTGCTGTAATAATTATGAATAGTTTGACAGCCTGCTGTTAAGGACAGCAACTAGTTCTGTCTAATCTAATTAGATGTTACTTCTTCAGGATCCTGGGTGAAGCTGACCTTTCTGTAACTATTCAGAATTCGTAGGTCGTTTCAGCACTTGGGTCAGAACATGCCTGGACTCCTGAAGTTACAAGAAGCTTTTTAACTTGGTTGGCATTTCACTGTTTTTCCTCTGCTATCATTTCCAATTTCTCACGTACACTGCAAATTAAATACACAGGATTTTTCTTTCTGGTTCATCATTTGCTGTCAGTGAAGGCAAAAGGTGCCATTGGCAGGTTGTACTTTCAGCGTTTCAAGTTACAAAGCTTATGAAATAGTTTTCCAAGTGAAACTACAGTCTATTACTGGAGAATGTTTTCAACATAGTTGTCAGAACTGTGGAAAAGGCAGCTTTGCGCAGGAGACTATGGGAGGAGAGACTGGCAGTTCCTCTGTAGCCGCTGAATGCAGTATTAGGTTTGAGGACTGTTCAAGGAATGCTTAAGATAATTGATGATCACACACCCATCCAGTTCTGCAGATCTGCTGAAACCTTTCATTTTTTCGTATTTTGAATTTGTACATCTGTTGTCTTGCTTGCAATTAATCAGATCCAGCTTCTTCTCTTGAGTTGTCTTTCACTTTTTCAGAATAACCAGAATGAAGTTTAACTGGTGCATATTGCAAAGAATATTTCCTTTAATGTGAACAAAGTTGTCTGTATCCCTTCCCAAGAAAGCAGGAGTTGATACATGTTTCATCCTGTTGTCTGTAGACTCTGAAGTACACAGGGATGGAGGTGCTGTCAGCTAGAAATGTGAATACTCTTTGTTGTCTTGAAATTACTTAAGGTTTACATTTACTGCACTCATATGACATAAGTATAGTTTTGAATGGCAGCTTTCCTGCATATTAGAACATGTTGACTTTATTTTTCTGGCAGTTGGTAGATATATTATGCGAGGAAGCATGTAGGTCTGCCTGGCTGTCTTGGCAGCTGAGCTTGTGGCTTAAGAAATTAGAGTAAAGCTTAGTCTGTTTATATTCTTAACAGAAATTAAAAAAAAAAAAAGTAGCTGATAAATGTATTTGTCTGACAAAGAGTGATGCTGACTGGGGATTTCTTTCTCTGTATTGTGTTTTTTTCCTGCCAGAAAAACAAGTTAATCTGTAATTTCATATGGTCCTGTTACACGACAGTAAATATTTCTTGCCTCATTGGGCCACCTACCACTCTTTGAGTAGAATTTGTAGCCCTCTTTGTTGGCCTTCTGCCTAGAAAGGCAGGCTGGACAGGGCTTTTAGCAGCCTGGTCTAGTAGAAGGTGTCCCTGCCCATGGCAGGGGGGTTGGAACTGGATGAGCTTTAAAGGTCCCTTCCAACCCAAACCATTCTATGATTCTATGAAAAGAGGCCTTAGAATAGATTAAAAAGTTACATGCATTGTTTTCTTTTTTCCCTATTGACTGTGGGGCTTTTTCCCTCTGAAACGGTAAGATTTTATTAGCATGGCAAATCAGTTAGTGTTCAGCATAAAATACTGGAAGTAATACAATTTAAACAGATGGAACTGCAGGATTTTCAAGGAAAATGACATTCCTCCTTAAAGATGGTGTTATGCTTTAATACTATGCTTATACAAATAAGTTGGACACAAGTCAAAATGATCACTTCATAGATTTATTGTAGTTGCTTACAATATAATCTTGACAGTGCATGGGTTTGGAGTATTTTCAGTCGACTAGAATCCCCTGGGCAGCCTGTGGCAGCTCAGGGAGAGTAAAGGATCAGAATAATGTGGACAGCTGCTTGAGTCCATTTCATGTGAATTGGCACACACAGTCTGTGTTTGAGTAGTAAATAAATGCTGCTTAGAACACTGGTATTAAACCAAGAGCTTGATGTTTATACTCTGTTTTAAAAGAAATTCATTTCAGACACATGGTGTTTGTGAAAAATTATACACGTAGATTACTTGAATGCACTTACTCAAGGAACGCGCATATCTTCGGCAAAACTTCCTTCTGCCCATAACAGATAGAGGGAACAACTTGGCTGTGAGTCAAACACTTCAGTTTGTGGCTGGAAGTTGCAATTAGTGAACAATCCTCACTGAACTATATAGTGAACAGTAAGGCAACAAACTACAAAAGCACTTTTCTAACGTGTGAGCGCCTGTTGACACAGGTCTGGATCTTCAGAGGTATTTACTGTCTCAGTTTTGATTTGGATCTAAACTGACAACTTTTTAACCATATTTTAGTGCTGTGGAGGTGACAGCTTGAAGAGAAGTGTGGGTAAATTACGGTCTTTAACAATAGTAGGTATGTCGGACTAAGTGACTGGAGTATACAGTTATTTCAGCACTCAGTATGCAAGCTGAATCTGCGGTGTTGCTGAACAACACTGCATGAGGCTTCCACTTCAATTTGAGAACGTTTTAATGACGTTTCATTGTGCATTTAAGCGTGTGCCTACTTTAAATGCCTTTACTTGTCCTTGGGCTTGTCTCTGCTAGAAACATTTTCTGCTGGAGAATACAGCAGAGTCCTCTAGTGGAAATACGCTGATGGAAGGAATTCTTGTTAACACTGCTGTTCCACCTCTCTGAATAACATAAGCTGACAGGAGCACTCTGCAGTTGGCAAAGCTGCATCTACATAGGAGGTTTTTGCCGTCACAGCGAGCTGGGGAGTTGCCTTTT